GAACTACTTCACAGTTAGGGCGGCTAGGAGCTGGAACCAACTTCCTAGGGAAGTGGTGCTGGCTCCTACCCTGGGGATCTTTAAGAAGAGGCTTGATGACTACCTGGCTGGACTCATTTGAGTCCAGTCTTTTCTCCCGCCCAGGCGGGGGGTCGGACCTGAAGATCTACAAGGTCCCTTCCAACCCTACTTCTATGATTCTATGAATTTACCGTGTAGAGAGTAAATTTATCTTCTCTTCTCTGAACCTGCTGTTTGAAGGTAGAACCTTTCCTAGGATTGCCTCTGTACTGAGCTGAATCTGTAGCGTTAATTCTCAAGATGTTGACAGTTGAAAATCAAATATGAAATTCTTTTTCCCACCCTTCTACCTTACCACTTCCTTGTGGCTGATGGTATAAACCTCAGGGAGAAGGCAAGGGAAAATTACAAACTTGTAGACCCCATTTTAGTCTACAATGTTCCCTTTTGTGGGATGTCCATTAGACAAAATTTCCTTTTCAAGGTAAATAACTGGCCCTTTTCTAACACATCAGTTCTTACAAGTAGCCTGTCTGATCTTCTGATAATCTCTTTGTTAAAAATAACAATCTGCCAAATACAGGCCAAGTGCTTTTAACACATATTTGTAGACATAGACTTGTAATGCACACCAGTTCTTCACACAATTGGATATCTGATTGAGTCCAATCAAGCTGAATTGCAACACCTTTGTATGTATTTAGTTCTCTGAGGAATTACTTGGCAATAATCATCCCTGCATTTAGAAGTAATAAGATTAAAGTCTTGAACGTTGGTCTAAAATGATGAGCATCTGGCAAATTCTGGAGAGAGAATTTTGACCTCAAAACTTGGTTTAGTTAAAATGTTTTATGATGTTCTATTACAATTATGTAAATGATTTTTAATAGTGAAACATATTTTCCAAACGTCGCTGCAGTGTTCTTGTGCAGGAAAACCTGAGGTTCACTGACTTAAGCCTTCTTCTTTTTTTTTTTTTTAATTTAATTTTTTTCATTTTCCGAATAGAAAACTTTGGATATTTTCAATGAAGTCTTTTTAATTTTTTTCTTAAAAGTAAAGATGAATGTTGTCTTGTAAATCATGTGTCCTGTTCTGTTGAAGTGAGTGTGAGTGGTGCTCTTGACTTCAGCAAGGGCAGCCTTGGACTTTAGTTAGTACCTAAAGTCTACTGTCAATATTTTGCCCTAATATTTCCTTTACTAAAGAGCCAGAAATTGGATGAAGACACAAGCTTGTTTCTTCCTTAATTGGCAGTGACATTAGCATTGGCAAAAGCTAACATCCATCCATTATTGGACCATAATGACATGATCATCCAATAATCACCCAGAGCAAGTCCAATCAATACCTAAAAAGGGATTTAAATAGAAATATTTGCACTGATATATTTGCCACTTGGAAGAATCCCAAATGGCTTATTCTGAGACCAGAAACACTATATCATACACATAAGCTCTAGACTGCCTTCCCATAAGCCCTTATTTTGTTCTGTTTTATGTGCTTTTATTTCATGATATGTTCAAAAAGAATGGTAATCTGAGTTTCACATTAGTCTTGCATTTGCACTGGGACCTAAATGGTCTTAGCTCTCCAGGATGGTTTTTAAGATATTGCTGTCAAGTTGCATTTTAATATGCCTGCGTGTTGAGATGCTTTATTATGAAGTTTTCAGGAAGCAAGCCATTTAAGCCACTAAACTCAGTTCAAATGAACTGTATTTCTAGTCTTTTGGAAAACTGTGGTCATAAAGTAATCTGTATGGAATGACTGATAAACAAACCTCCTTAAGATGTGCCTGATTATTGAGGATTTCCTTAGTCCTCTTGACTAGAAATTATATGATCCCTAAAGCCATTCCTTAAATTTGGCAGTGCAACAAATTTGCCTTTCATTCCTGGGGACTGCTTTAATCTAAACTGTTGCACTGATCTTGTTGCTGCTGTTGGCACCAATATCTCAGTTCACCAGCAACTGGGTATAAAAGTTGCCATCATTTTCAGAAGGCATGTTGGAAATTATGGGCTCCCGTGTAACATTTTTTCCTCAAGAACAGACCGATACAACTTTTTTCTTTCCTTGCAGTACCACAAAATAAACTTTAGTATATTTCATACAGTCTGATCTAGGGGAGCTTACATGTAGTTCCCCTTGATTTTTTTTAATCATCCCTTCCACTATTTCTTCTCTATCTATTGCTGAAATTCAACAGACTTTCTTGTAGAAAATGTATGTCGCATGCCGTGCAGTGCATCCCTTTAGAAAGTAAAGGTGTTTGCTTGAAATGCAAGAAATTGTTGATGTAGTCTGCTTGGTTCCACCTTTAAAATTAGACCATGCTACTGCTGCTGTTCTTTTACAAACTGCTACTATGGATCATTGTCCTTGATTCAGCAGTCTCTTGACCACTACTACATTTCAGTGGAACAACTGAAGAAATGTGGCATATAAACTACTTATGTGATCAGAGAAAAGCAGTTTAGACTAGTATTGCTTAATATTGTCAGAAGTCCATTACATTGCAATCTCTAGTTTATTTTTTGTATATACCTAGATTAGCTTGGTTTGTAATAGTGTCTACCTCTCCAGATTTGGGCATGGAACATTTCTGGTTTGTTTGGAAAACATTTACAAGAAGATCACTGGCAAGGAACTGAAATATGAGGCTTTGATGGGCAAACCTAGTGAACTGACCTATCATTATGCAGAGTACCTCATCAGAACACAAGCAGCAGAAAGACAGTGGAAGAAGCCTATTCAGTCTCTTTATGCTATTGGGTAAGGGATTGAATCATTAAATATGGAGCTGTCAGGAAATGCTTCACAGCACAAACAATAGCAATAAAAATGGTGTGGCTTCTACTATTTTGTTTCTATTGAGAGAGGGGAGGATATGTGATAAATTGAACTTTCAGATTTTCTGTTAAACAACTTTTTGTAAAAATCTGTTTCTGATTGGAAAGTTGCTGACGTCAGCTCTTAGAACAAGCCTTCTTAGCTGGCAGATCATTCACAAAGCTTTTCCCCTGCATCGGACTCTTTCAAAGGAAGCAGTTGCATCTTTCTGTGTTTTTATTCCCTCCTTCCTCATTGCTTGCTTTGGCATTCCATTTCTCCATGTGGGGAAGCGCTTGCATCTAGGGGTGCTGCAATCAGAAATTTTTGGGGCCGATATAGATAGCTGATTTTTAAGGAGGCATATTGGCCAATACTGATCCAATTTCTGATATGCAGCCTGGCAGCTTAAAGAGCAGCGTTTGGCTGGTAAGTCTGTTGTGGTGGAAGGAGAATGGGAAGGGAAGGGGTATGGGGGGATGCAGATCAAGGCCCCTGCAATGAGGGAGGGAGTGGGGCTGGGGTTGCATCTGGGGCAGGCGCTGCCCAGCTGGGGCGTCTGCAGGGCAGAACCATGGTTCATCTGGGGGGTGCAAGGAGGGGAGGGGAGGGTCAGCTCCCACTGCTGCACATACCCTGGGAAGGCATGGGGGGCTCACACCTCTGGATTGGGGCATGGCATGGTGGGCTACAGCTGTATATCTGAAATAATTCATGAGTTGCTCTGTTGATGAAATCCTATTTTTGGCTTTCCAGGGACAATCTAATGACTGATATCTATGGTGCTAACCTTTACAGTCGTTACCTTGAAGAAAAGAACTCCAGAAAAGGTTCCAAAGCATGTGTTCAGGCCAAAGTTGCTGCAGGCACAAGATCTACTACTGTTTCTCAGGATGATGAAATAAGTAACACTTGGGAAAGTGAACTAGCATCTGCCACTGCCACTAGTTGTAGATCTATTCTTGTCTGTACTGGAGTTTACAATCCTCATGCAGAGGTGTCCTCTAATACTGGGGAGAGTGTAACTGAAGCAGTGTTCCACGGTCACAGAGATTTTAGATTTGATCCTGCCTTGATTGAACCAGATCATATTGTACCAGATGTTGATGCTGCTGTAGACCTGATCTTCCAACTAGAGAATTTTGCACCTAATTGAAAAACCAGAACTCTCTAAGGATTTCCTAGCTCTGTGCTTCTCTTCCAAAAGCAAACTGGGGCATGTAGTACAGCACAAACTGTGGCTTCCTAGCACATTTAACCCTTTAATTTTAATACTTTTACCAAAATACTTCCTATGTGTTTTAATAGCACTTCATTGTCATCCTATTCCACCCTTTATGTGTGTGCGTGTTTTTAAGTTTGTCGTCTTATATAATGTCTTGGGTAACTGTCATATTGTGTGTGTGGGGGGGGGGTTGTTTTGTTTTGTTTTTAATTCTCATATGTTTACTTCATTCCTCTGTTCATTTGCTGAAGGAGTTAGTCTCTAATTGGGTGCATGCAGGAGTTTGAGGAGTGGCAATTAAGTAGTTCAAATAACCCAAGTAGATTTTGGCTGGTGCAGTGCCCTGTACACTTCTCTGGTGCTCCATAAGTAATAAGCTTTCCTTCCCATGGTTTGCCTCAGGTTAAAAGCAAGTAATGCGTATCCTTGACTCTCCCTCTCTGTACTTGTCCACTCTGAATTGTATATCTGTATGTACATCTCTTTCCACTTAGGCTTGCAACTACAATTGCTGCCCTTAGCTTTTTAGTTTGCTCGCAGGGATGCCCATGAGAGCTAGTGTAAATGCTTAGTAGCCAGCACCATTTCTGGTTACTGAAACAGCTGATCTAAGAGGGAGACTAAACTGGGGTCTTCTGTGTAGTGTACCAGAGCTGACTTTGTTTTTCCATAGTCTCAGAAATATATGAAAATGCTATAATCCATATAACTTTAGTTACGAATTTTAACTATAGTCATATTGTGAGTACTGTATTTTTTGCATATGATATACATATTTCCCCTCCAAAATCAGCCCCCAAAACTGGAGGGCATCCTAAGTGGGAAAGCTGGTTTCTTCATTGGAAGAGGAGCACTCTTGGAGACACTATTGTATGCCAAGATATCTGCCACTTGTCTGGCTCAGCAAACTGAAAGAGTGGAGTCCTGTTAAACCTCTCTCAGCCATACCTATTGGCTGAGCACTATAGATTGTGCCTGAAGCAGTGAGTGACCTGCTGGTAGTATCTTGATGAGGCTTGTGATGTGGAAACACTTTATTTACAGGAACTTTATAAAGAACTAATTACAATAAAGAATTAACATTATTGCTGCCCTTGCAAAGGTCTAGGGCATACGTTTTAGGAATGTGCCTCTCCCAGACTGTCTCCTGGGATGCCACACTTCCTGGACACTGTATTCCCAGGAGGACTAACTTTGTCACACAGTCGGCCATAATTCTGAAAAAATCTTTTTTCCCTACCTTGTGCCATCCAAAAACAACTTGCCTGTTGTATGCAAGAAAATGTGGTATTTTTTTCATTCAGCTGAATTTATGTGCAAAATGTATGCAAGAGCTATTTGGGCAAAGACTGCCCAGTTTTTTTACTTGAAACTTCAAACCACTGTGTTAACTAACCTGTCTCTGCTTTAATATGCAACAGAGTTTGTCTTTTGTTGTGGTACCATATGTTTATCTTAATGGGTCACTGATCTTCTACCTGTTTTGGTGTTTAATTTATTTTAGTCTGTTATTGTTTTTATAAAACGTTTTTTAACATTTAACACAAAGAGAATGTCTTCTGAAATACTCTGCCTTAATCTGTTACAGCATGGTGGGAAGTGTACTTACAGAACAGGCTTTGTACCTGTCCTAAAATAGCTAACCTAACTATAGCAGAGGTTGCACCAATGGGACAGAAACCTCAGTTTAAGTTCTTTTGTCACTTCATGCCCATGGAATCTGTGGCTTGGAAGTTAACACAAATAAATACCAGAGTCAGCATCGGTTGCTAAGCTCTTTGTACAAATGAAACACTGTATAGACTAGCAGGTGAGAGGAACCAAAAAATCTTAAATATTAAGTGAAAGAGCCCTGGGTGCTTTCCACTTTATTTCACTAGCACCATAATTTTTTTAAAAAAATCTAACAAAGTAAATGAAGCAAGAAGATTGCTGCTGTGAAGTCTATTTTGAGAAAGTTTAGTCTTCACAAACTTTTTGAATCTCTTCTCTTATCCTTAGCATTGTTGATTCCCTCACTCCAAGTGTGGTCAAATCAACTTTATTGCATCTTGTTGACCTCTGTTAGTCCACATTTAACAATTGTGTTTTGAGTAGAGTGTTTTCTGCTCCATTGTTGTAAGAGCACAGTGGACACTTTTACACATTCTGGGGGGTGGAGAAGGGGAGGGGGACTTTAATTAGAGTGGCTCCAGGAGTTGCTCTAATTAAAGCACTGCACTGTCTCATGTATCAGTGTCCCCATATTTAAAAATGGCAGCAAGGGCACTTGAACTAAAGCTTGTTTAATGAGCTTTAGTTCAGGTGCTTCTGCCACCAGTTCTTTAGGTGTAGGGATGCTGATGCACGTGATGGGAGGCTGCTGGAGTGTGGTAATTACCATGCTCAAGCAGACTTGATCAGTCGAGCAGCCTTCATGCTCATGTACAGGCACCCAATAGTGTTTACTGCTTTTTTGGCTCTGTATTATAACAAATAGGCATATGCCTGTTTCTCAGCAGTATGGTGGAACAAATCTAAGTATTGAACATTTACAGATAGAGATTGTAGTTAGGAAAATGTGAAAGACCAGGACTGCTAAAGTGATGGCATTCTGGCATATGAAGGCATATTAGAGAATTTAATGGTTACAAGAGGAAACTGTTTGAAACAGCCTCTTAACATTCAGTCTGGAGAGAACAATGGAAGTGGATGAAGAAAAGTATCTAATTTGTTCATGTGTTTGTGGGCTTTCACATATTCAAAAAAAGAAGCAGCTCTCACACTTTAGCATTTACTCTTTAATTTATAAATAAATAACACATGGAGCTTATTAAAATTAACTAAAAGATTAACTCCTACTTCAGATATCTTGCAAACATTTTCTCAGCAGATCTGTTAGAAAATAATTACGGTATTTTGCTACATATCTATTACTCACTAGCACATTCAAGCTATTTTAATCTAGCTAGATCAGGTATCAATGTAGTGTGGTGATTTTTATAACCAGTGTCTAGGAGCCCTTGTCATGGACCTGGGTTCCACTATTTTTAAATGCTGAGCAAAGACTGTCTCTGTCCCAAAGAGGGACAATCTGTATAAGATGACAAATAGATGCTGATGGACTGGGGGAGGAAAAAGTACAAGGGGATGAGGTGATTAGCACAATAAGGGTGCATCCAGACACTTGCTGCTCAAACCACATGTGTTGCTCATTAAACCACGTGCAGTACTAATTTGCAGCATGGAGGCAAAATTTGCTATTGGGATTTCCTGGGAGCAAAAAAAAAAAAAAAACTTGGAAAAAAAAGCAGTGCAAAGTATGAAAAAATAGCATTCACTGAGACAAATACAAAGATGGGGCTGCCTGCTTCCCCATCTCCGCATGCTGTGGGGTCCCCCACACTGAGGCACACTGAGACAGGGAAGCACCAGCCCACTGCTGCCTTCTTCTACATCCTGAGTTACGCTGCGTCCCAGCCAGCTGCCCTGTGGCTGGCTGGGGTGTAGTGTGCCTTGGCACAGGGAGGTGGGCTGGGCTGCCTGATCCCCCATCTCCACATGCCTCTCCTCAGTGGGTTGGGGTGCAGGGTGCGTCAGTCGGGGGGCTGAAGGAAGAGGTAGTTTTGCAAATGTTTCAGAGATCAATTACCAAGTATGAAGCAGAGGCACAGGTTTCAGCTACCCAAGTACCTAGGATCCCTGGGTGGGCTTGTATAGTTTTGTATTTATGGTCTATCCTGCCATGTCTTTGCTCTATTGCTACCTAAACTAGCTAGGTTAAAACGAAGTTGAGCATTACAGTGTAGACAGCCTTAGAGAGGAGTGTGGTTATTAGGATTTGTTTTAACTTCATGGAAATGAAAGTGATGCTCTAACAAAAAAATATATATATAACCCTTTTTGTTCTGTGGCTCATGTTAACCTTGGAAATGATGCAGAATCCTAACTTTTGTACACTGTAGAGTAATAAAAGCAATAAATTATCAAAATACTTGTGGTCTTGGCACATTTACTGCAATTGGTGTGCTCCGACCATTGTACAATAATTTGAAGCATAATGGGGGATTTTGTTCAGGAAATGGAGAATGAATATTCGCATATAGGAATTTCTAAAAGAATATCTCCCATTGTTGATTACTGATTGAAGGGTCTTGGTTACAAGTCGTCCTGAGTACTTGGTGAAGATGGGGGTTCTTTTTAGTTATTCCACTGGGAAGGAGTCAAATTGATATTATGTTAATCTAGGTAAGAAAGAGACTAAGAAGGACAACGTTTTCAGCTGTTCCTGTCAAGGCAGTCTCCAAAATTCACATTTTATAGCTGGTCATTTTACTTCTAATAATGCACTTCCAATTTCTCCTGTTCCATTGTTTAAATCTTCCCTCCTCTCCCCCAACCCCCTCCATTCCTCCTGCCATTTCATTCTTCCACCGGTCTTAAGCTCCTAAACTTACTGCACTGAAATAGGCAGGATTTGTAGCATTGCTCTCATTGTATTTAAGCCTTAAATTAAGGAAGCTATTGCACAAACATATTAGCAATTGTTGATTTAAAATGTACTGTAAAGACGGTTAAGGTAAGTGACCAAGACTTCAGGTTTTTATTTTAGGTACCTAATGTCCATGATTGAATTCTGTGAGAGTTGTGGGTGTGTTGAATCTGCATATGTGAACCTAAAGCTACTTTCTGTTACATCTGCCAATATCAATGTACCAATTTCAATGTGTGTACGATTTTACTTTGTTTACAATATATTCTGTGCCTGCCAGTCTAGCAGAACTCTTTGTGATACTCATGACTGGAGTCATTTATGTATGGGAGTCAAGCAGTCAGTTGTCTTGGAGGACGTGTTCCTGTATAGCAGACCTCAATCTTCATTCTTTGGATGGGCAGGTTTTTATTATTGATACCATCGTTCCTTTTAAAAACAAAATTGTCATGTGCATATTTTTTAACTTATATTAAACTTAAAGTGTTTTAATCCCAAATTATATACACTTTGGTACAATGTGTGCTTTTTTTTCAAGAGTTTGAACAGCAGTTAAAAGAGAGGGTTTAATCAGAATTAATATAATGTACTGTGTATAAAACACATTTTACTTGCTTTTTGACATCTCATTGTGTCACATTTCATGAAGGACTAATCTATAGATTGAGGGAACCCTTTATATATTTTTGGTTAGACCAAATGATTCAAAATAGATGCCTACTTTCATTAGTTCCCTACATTTATAAAAATCAGTTCTATGTTGATCACTGATACTTCTGATCGGTTTGAATGAAGATTTATTTTCAATTTGTGAATAACTTTAAGCCCTATTTTATTTATTTTCCTAATCTATTTGCATAGAAGTGTAATGAGAGATGACCCTCAAACAAAAACCAAATATTTTCTGTCTTCAGCAAAGATAATTGCTATTCCATACTGATGTAAGCGTATGCATCTATAAAGCCGATTAGTTTGTAACAGTAGGCATCTAAGCACAGATGAAACGTTATGCCATGTTAAAATTTGGTGGAAATTTGTGGGAAAGAATGCTGCTGTTTTCCATAGAGAATCCAGCCCTCTTCCATGGAGCTTGCTGGGAGAAAGTCCCTACCTGTTTAAAATATAATCAACAATCTTGGTCACAAAGTTAATCTAAAAGCATGTGAATGCTATTTGGACTTCTAAGGACTGGCCAGGTGTTCACTCCAGAGCATTCGCTTAGAGGCTGAACGGCAGTCTGCAGGGAGGGCAGAAAGGGAATGTAAAGGTAGAGAGCACAAAGGAACTGTTTGTTCTGTACCATACCCTGTTTCTGCTTAAGCAGCAGGATGAGAGCTTATCTTGATATGTGAGCACACAAATATGTTGTAACTTTTGAACTAATTGATGGCTACATGGAAGATTTGCAAACTGGCTTATCCCAAGGCCATCTTGGGAGTTGCTGATAAACAATGTGAGGAGGAAGAGGGAAAAGGTATGTAATGGAGCTCTTCCCTAGAATGCAGTCTCCCTGGCAACATGTCTTAGCCTCATAATACCTACTCCCCACCCTGTTATTGGAACCAGAAGCAGAGTAACGATGAAAAAAGGCAAGTAGGAAGACTGGCTAGAGCATGAAATAACCAATTGAAGCCGAAAGATTTTATGAACTGGAAAGTGAGGTTGAGGACAATATGAAACCCAGTGAAGGATTGAAGATGCTTCTTGTGCTACATAGTAGAGGGGCCAAGAGGCCCGTTCACCTCTTCCCCTGTATGAAATTTGTCCTTTTGACTCACTAATAGGGGAAAAGGGGCTATTAATATGATGATAATCAGAGTTGAATGGTAGCTGCCTTCAAATACACTCCGTTCAGTGCAGAATACTAAGATTGTTATGCCCATCACTGAGCTGAAGTTTTAAAGCTGAGGAAGAAAACAGCATTAAAGATGTGAAAATGTGCAAAGACTGTACAAGGCAAGAGACTAATGTACAGTACTTATTCAAATCTAAGTCAACCCTGAATTTAAGGTGACCCCTCAATTAGGTTCTATACATGGAAAATGTATTTACTGGTTATAATTTTTGAGGTATAGAATCTAATTATTGGAGGTTGTCTTAATTCATCTCCTGGGTTGCTCGGGGGGGGGATCAGGTGGCCCCTTGCCGTCTTCCCTACCACTTCTCCCCTGCAGCCTTCCTGTGCCCCCACCATTGCTCCCCCCACCTCCATCTCCCCACAATCTCTGCCCCTTTCCTCCTCCTCTCCAGTCTCTGCTTCTTCGCCCCCCACCTCCCCTTCCTCTGTGCTGTCAAAGACTGCTTGGGCTGTGTTCCCTCCTGGAGCACATGGAAGCTGCTGATTGGCCATGCAGAGGCCATGTAGCAGTTTTGGTGCTGCTGCTTGGCTGGGCTGAGGCCATGCAGCAATGTCAGTGCTGCTAATTGGCCAAGCAGGGTACAGAG